CAGGGAGCTACACAAAGATAGTCCCCAAAGCCCACGTTCTTAAGCACTAAATGATAAATGACGTAGTATTGCCAAATGAATTTCTAAGCAATATGTGCACAAGGTTCATTCCCTCCAAAATTTCATCACAGGGTATATGGCTTATGCTTCTAAGTCTTAAACAAAACTACAAAATAATTTCTTTGATCAGAAAACTTCGCTAGCCAACTCTTCATTTTCTATATCCTCTCAAGGAAAGGCAATACTACAAAACACATATAATCTTACAATTCTCCAAATTTTTTACACCACTGCTTTGTGGTAAGAAACAAAACAGCACACAACTTGAACAGACTAGCCATTAATGATGAACGAAAAAGAGAGTAAGGGATAAAAGAAGTTGTGTGCCATTCACCATTCACTGGTACAAATTCACAAACATTTACTTACTCGGTGCTATCTGGATCTCTGGATCTCTGAGACTTTCTTTAAAAACCTACTGCCACTCCTACCTGAATTTTTTATTTCTGTAAACATGGGTGGCTGTGCACACTCCTTGACAATCAGTTGTCTGAAAACAGCAGGTGTATCACACCAGTTTCAGAATGTCTTTCACAGAAAGCCTCAAGAATCAATTCATAACAGCACTAGAAAGATTAATAGAGAAGAAAAAACTCAAAACTGAGGTGGAACAGGGGCTCAGAGGAGGGTAGCAAGAAAGGGCAAATGGGGACATCTACAACAGTGTCGACAGTAAAAGAAAAAAAATTCAAGACTGTGTAAAGATAAATATAAGGGCTAAATTAATACTCATAGTGTCTATCAGTCTCAAATAAAGTAATGAACTTAAAAATATACCAGTTGATAAACTAAAGGGGGGAATGGTGGGGGAGGGGGTGTGCAGGGTAGAGGGGAATGAAGGGGGGAATAGAACAACTGTAATGGCATAATCAATAAAATATATAAAAAAATAAAAATATATATATACCAATTGATTACACAGACTGTAAAGAGTGTACACTGCCCTCTAGTGACTACATGAAGGCTAATATTGTCACCACTAACTAATCACACCAGCTTCTAAAAAACTTAAGTACGTACACATGCTTTAATTATTACCTAAATTATCTAATTATTAAATGGTGAATTAATCACTCAGGCCTGGGTACCATCTAAGCCCACATTAACTTACTTTCAACCCCATACTCCCGTTCACCCCCATTATCAGCCTGCTTCTCTCCCTAGGCAGTTGTTTACATTCGAGTTCTGTGTACTCACTCCTAACAGCACTCCTCAAACCACTGCTGGGCCCCTTCCCCTTCCCTCCACCGAAATAACTACAGGAACACCAGTAATTTCCTTATTGTTAAATCAGCAGACACTTAAAATATTTAAATTTTGATACTTGACTCTTCATAGCATTTTAAAAAGCCTCCTCCTACAAAAACCTTTCCTCTCCTTATACCTTCTTGGCTAACTCCTTCTGCCCTTCTCAGGATCCTGCCCTAGGCCCATATGCTCTCTATTCCCGAAGCAAAGGCTGGTGACTTCCCTCCTTCAAGCACCATGGGGTAGCCCCCCAACTCCGAATCCATTTTTTATGTTATAGACAAAGAAATTTTTTTAAAAACTATTGTTAAAAACACATATTTGATGTAAAATTTCTCAATGGCTGTGCTTTGTCTTTGGGACAAAAGGTAACTTCAAACTCTTTCACAGTGTTTTGTAAATGTCAACCAGCCCTGAACACCCTACCCAATCTCATTTATTCAAATTTTTTATACTCACTTCACTCAGATGCCATACCCTTGTGTTCCAACCCTTTTTTCCAGGCCCTATGTACACAGTTCTCCCTATGAACTACTTAACCCCTAGTTTCCCTTCCACTTACCCCACCACTCACTGTCATTGCCAGAATATCTGTCTAAATTAATTCCTACCTTGTTGTTGACAGTCTAAAATCTCTCCCACCCCAGAATAATTAATCTAAACCAGATGTGGATAATCTCATTCATTTTGCCAGTTGCTGGGTAAGGAATGAGCAAGTCACTCAATTCTGACAAATGAGACAAGAAGCAAAGTCTGCTAAGAAAATCGCCTTCTCTTTTTCCTTTGGGTGATATTCTGAAATGCTCAAAATTGCTATTGACCATTTTGTGTCAGGACAACATATTTAAAGTATTCTAAGGCAGTTAAAATCAAATTTCTTTTGCTTGTAGCCAAAACGCCTAATAACTAATATGCATTTAGTTACTAACTCTTCAGTTCCTATTTTAGACATCTGTTTCCTCTGGAAAAAGTTCCCTGACACATTCAAAATCTGCCATCTTCCCAATGACTCCTCATAGTATGCCATGTCCATCTTCATCATAGCTGTCATCAAAGTGTATTAAATGACTATGCAATGATATGATTTGTCAACTAGAGAATAATTTCTTTGGGAGCAGTAACTATAACATGCTCCCATCATCTAGCATAAGAATGCTCAAAAAATATTTGAGGCCCTGGCTGGCGTAGCTCAGTGGATTGAGCGAGGGCCTGCGAACCAAACAACCGCGGTTCGATTCCCAGTCAGGGCACATGCCTGGGTTGCAGGCCAGTTCCCAGCAGGGGACACACAAGAGGCAACCATACATTAATGTTTCTCTCCCTCTCTCCTTTTCATCCCCTCTAAGGATAAATAAATTTTAAAAATTTAAAAAATATTTGAGAACTAAATGAATGAGTGGTGTAAATGCCAGTATAATGCTTCATTTTTGCAATCATTGTAAGTAGAGCATTGCCTATACTCAACAAATCTTAAGCTCTTTTTTGAGGGCTTTAAAAACTATTTTATAACTTCCAGCACATGAATTAGAAAAGATCATTCATAAAAAGAACTCAGATCCAGGTAGTTTTAGATGACCATTACAGTGTCTGTCAACTGCATTACAGCCTCACTACTCACAGGGTGTTCAAAATACCAATGGCAATGAGGTTTAAGGATAGCACAGGTGCTGCCGTGCTCTCATCAGAAAGAGACAGTGCAGACGGGGCTGCCAACTGTCTCATCAGTAGGTCCACACTCCAAAGGAGCTGTCACAAATCTTCTGCTATTCACATCTCCTATCAAAGAGCATGCACTTTTTAAATGTACACTAAGGCCAGGAATTGGTTTTTACTGATGGAAATAATGGTATGTTAATTAGTAAAATGAGTATTAAAAAGTGGTTTTCTTTGGTGAAGCTGAAGGTACACAAAACATATGGACCAGCTAATAATATTTGGATACCTGTGCCACCATTGCATGAAAAAAGTGTAAGAATTCTGTGAGGTCTTTAGAGATGGAGCTCAAGCCTAGATGCCTAACCGATCTTCTGTATAGACAACATCGGTTTAGAAAAATTTCTATTATCTCATATCAACTGTAAGAGTAACAAGATTCTATCAGGGCAATATTGCTGTGTTTCCCCTGAGTAAACCTTCACGCAATGTGTTTTGATTGCAAAACCTAGAAGAACAGGCCTGAACTCAAACCAGGTTACGTGTATAGTTTTGTGTACAAAATTTAGTTAAAAAATCAGCTTGCAAATAATAAGATTGTGGGGAAGTACTTCTAGAATAGTTTTCAATGGCTACTGTTACCTACAAAATTAACATAGTGGTTATTTTAACAAGTTATTTTAGTTTGCAACAACTACAATGCAAATATACCATTGGGAAATATTACTAACAAAAATTTTGAGTGGCAATACATATGAAAAAACATAACTTTTTTCAGACTATAGAAAACCCAAAAATCCATACTACAACTCAACTCTGCATGTCATATACCACTCTATTCTGGTAGAGAAGTAGCTCTGAGTTATCTTTTCCATCATGTATTTTATGGGGTGAAAAGGAGTTACCATCTTAGAACACCTAAAATGAAACTACTTGGCCCTCAGGAAGAAATGTCTGATGCATCCAGACCCTTCCTGCTTAGTCCCAGGAAGGCCCACGGCTGAGTGAGGAAGTGCAGTCCCCAAGAAACTCAGATCCAAATCTGCCCCTACTCTCCCTCAGTTGTATGGCTTTGAGAAGGTTGCTGCATTTTCTTTCAATACCTCAATTTCTATAAAAATTATGGAACTTGTACCAGCCATGATATAAGGCAGTAATAATCCCTCTTACAGAACATTAAGTATTAGTAAATTTAAGTTATTCTGTAAGTACCTGGAGCAGAAAATAAGACTCTGGTCTTTGAATCTAGAAATGTATTACATAAAATACTTGAGAAATTCCATATCTCTTTTTCTATTGCTCTTTGATACTGCTACATTCTGTTGTCTCTCTTCACATCAGTTAATAATATTAATAAAAATAACTAACTTTAACAGACACTTTTATAAACTGGGAAAAGATGATCTTGAGTTCACGTTAGGGTGAGAACACCTTGGTTCTAACCTGTATTCTGTGGGGACCTAACAGAGAACCACTAAAACGATGATCCTGAAAGTTCTTTCCAGCCTGCTTAGGACACTGATGCGTACACCATGCTCTGTATGAAATCTCCCAGACTGACAGTGTGTTTTAATTAAGGTGACGAAATGTGAAGAATGATAAAGCCTTCCCTTTAAAATTATCATGTTCCCTTTCAAGAAAAGGTACAGAAAACACAAGGAAAGGGAAGAAAAAACATTTCAATAAAGGATTTTCTTCTTCCCTATCCTGACAAAACTAATTTCTGGAATACAAGTAAAAAAATGTATTATTTATATATAACCTCACTTTATAGATAGCTCTTCTATAATAAGTTTATCCCAGGTATTGAGAAGAACTGAATTCCTGAAACTTATATACTGAAGAAAGCAACAGGATATAGACATTAGAGTTTTAAGCAGGACACAAAAATCCCGAGACATGATCATTCCATAAAACTGATACTAAACATAGCCATTCCACCTGCTTTAAAAAAATAATTTCACTTCAGTTTGCCAGAATACTTTACATTTTAATTAATTAAAAGAGCTCCACTTTGATGTCAGTTTCACTGTACTTACTAAAGTGTATCTGGAGGACCAATAATAAGGACTTCCCATCGGTAGAGATCATTGTCATCTATTAAACCTGCTGAAAAGCCTTCCACTGGATTTTTGTTGAGCTCTGTGGAGAAAGAAAAATTTAATCAAAACTTTAAAATTAAGGCCCATAATTTTTATCCAAAAAAACCCCACAAAACTTGAATATACACCTTATTAATTCTAAACTATTAAATGGATATACCTGGATCCATTAGGAAAATGCTACCTGATGACCAAAGCATTTCCAACTTTTCCCCCAGAAACTCTCCTTCTGAGAGAAATTAAACCAGTCCTTCAAGCAATTCTGATGCTGTGATCTTTTGGGTGCACTTTCAGAAATACCAACAGAGTGCCTAATACCTTTTCATTGGAATGTACTGAGCTTAACCAACCTTCATTTATACTTGTATCTGTATGTCTATTTGACAACTCCTTTGTAACCTTGGGGATACGCACCTACAACTGATGTTCATGTGTGGCCCATCAGACTCTGAGCACGGACAGAACAGAGAGGCTCCATGTGTCCTGCCTATGTGTGTTGACCCCTCTGCCAGCCACAGCTTTCATCACACAGGAGCAGTTTAAGATTAATACCTGGAGCCTATAATCATAAGATTTTTCTGTTCCAAAGAGAGTGGCTCTGGCATGAATGGAGAATGATGGAGGCTGGGGACAAGAACAGAGGCAAAGGACTAGTGAGGCTGGGAGACATCGGCCAACAGGGGACCTTAGAAGGACAAGTGAGGAGTGCAAAGTCTAAACAGTTCTTGGAGACACTGAGCTTACTACAGTAGTGATGACCTACTGATCATGGGCATTAAGTAAGGAATTTTTTAAACAGCTTTAACAAGGTATAATGTGCATTCTGTGAATGACACATACTTAAATTATATCATTTAATGCATACTGATGTATGCAGACAGTGTGAAGCTATCACCACAATCATGATAGTGTATAAGTATGTATATATATCACCAACTGGGAAGCTCAGACACAGAGCACTGACTGGCTGGCTGAAACTGAGTAGCAGAAACAAAGCCCATGCAAAGGAGACCGGCCCAGAAAGAACTTGCTGGGAGCCCGAACAGGTCTGTAATTCTCATAATTCCTGCCACCCTCTTCAAGAATCTCAGTCTAATAATAAAGGTATCATAATAATAAAAGTAAATATACAACTCAAAGTGCAATAAAACACTGAACAAAGTGTGTTGATAACTGAGAAAAAGATATTACTTTTTTTTTTGAGGAATCAGAGGTGGTGTTATTTCAACTAAAATTTAATACCCCAAAATGTCAGTGAAACACAGAGAAAGCCAAAAGTGAGTTTTCTATTTAAATATGAATGGCTTCTTTTCTCAAAATTTAAGGGGAGATTTTTAAAGTCTAACATTTTTGCCTAACAGAAAAAAGTAGACTTTTATAAATAGTTTTAAGTCAGTACTATTATTTCATGAAACAAGAAATGCATTTTTACTTTTAAATAGCTATCATAAAACATAAGAAGATACTGAAAATGCAAATACAAAAATTACATTTTATTCTTATTTTGTTGTGCATGTAAACACTCACTGAGTGCTGACTATTGAGGGAGAAGCTGAAAGCCCCACTCACACTGCCAACTGAGGGGCAGGGTAGAGCACAGACCACTGCAAAACAGGCAGTTATTTTCCACAGTTATCTTCTTTCCCGTCTTTTTCTAGATAAACACAGTACACTTCTCCAACACTGACTACAAGAGTCTTGTGGAACATTCTGTAATTTACCAGTATCTAGAAATCACCTACTTGTTGCATGTTCCACAAGTTTAGTGGAGTTTTATATATGTATGTGGGTGTACTCTGAAATTATCAATAGCATACATGGTCAAAAATTACCCTGGAAAATTTCCCTACATTTCCCAGCACAGGTGTCCAACTTTTTCAGCATCTCTGGACTACACTGGAAGAAGAGTTGTCTTGGGCTACACATTAAATACACCAAATTTAGGAAAACAAAAAAAATCTCAATGTTTTAAAAAAGTAAATAGACAATTTTGTGCTGGGCCACATTCATAGCCATCCTGGGCCTCATGTGGCCCATGGGGCAGCAGTTAGACACCCCTGAGAAGTATATCATTCCTTCTCATTTCTATCAGTACATCATTAAGTTCTTGTAATCTTTTGTACATTCTCGTTATGCTTTTCTTCCATTGAAATAATTGAGTCCACTGCTTGTTTCAAGTAAGTAACACATAAGCAATGTTGAAGAATGTCCAATATCTCATGGCCTTCTGTCATGGCCTTTGCTCAGTCCTCATAGGTCTGCATCCATATAAATATTCAACAGGTTTAATCTACCCATAGTTGCAGACCATTACCACACCTTCATGAATGCTTCCTTCAAAGTCCAATTCAAGTAACACCTTCCTTGCTGAGGCCTTCCCTAAGTAATTTACCAAATAATCTTTTGACCTCTGAATTCCTAATAATTATACTTATTCTAGTCTGCACTATATCACCTGGCACTTAACTATCAGCTTCTGATTTCCACAATGTGTAGCAAATGCTCCAACATTAGTACAGGAATTTGGAGGGGACATTATGATCATGAACAGACAGAAAGGGTTTCTAAAAAGAAAAGAGACATCTAAACAAGACAAAGGATTTGGGTGGGGGGAGGTGCTCAAGCTAGAGAAGCATAGAAAAACTTGAAAAATGGACATCAGTATATGGCTAGACCAATTGGGGGTGGTTAAGATGAAACTAGACAGAAGAATTAGACAGAAAAGAGTCTTTGCAGGCCACGTAAGTTTACGCTTTATCCAGAGGGCTATGATGATGAGTTTCTCTTTTGTTGTTTTTAAAACAATAAGGTAACCTCATCAGATTTACAGTATCAAAAACCAACTTTGTAGTATCTTTAAGATGACACAGAATAAGGCCATGGTAATGACAAAGAAAACAAAAAGGAAGTTAATAAAGTAATCCCAGAAAGTGTACCTTTAGTATATGGTAGTGGGAATAATAATGAAAAACAGTGATATTTAGGAGATAGAATAATCAACCAAGCTTGGTGACATGGAGGTTAAAATCACACACAATTCCTCAAAAAGTTAAAACACAGAGTTCCAATATACCCTAGAAATTCCACTCCTAAGTATATACTCAAGAGAAATGAAAACAGCTGTCCACATAGGAAGTTGCACGCGAGTGTTTATGTAGCAGTGCTGATCATAATAGTAAAAAGGTGGACACAACCCAAATATCCATCAACAAATGAATTCATAAACAAATTATGGTATATACATACAATGGAATGTTATCGGCCATAAAAAGTAAGTTCTGATACATTTACAACTTATACAAAGCTCAAAAAAACAGGCTAAGTGAAAGCAACCAGACGCTAAGGTCACATATTGTATGACTCCTTTGATATAGTCAGAAAAGGCAACTACAGATACAGAAAGCTGAGCGAGATCACCAATGGATGGGTGAGGGGGAAACGGAATGTGCCTACTTAACAGGTATGGGTTTTTTTAATAGGATGATGAAAAAGTTTTGAAACTACAGAGAGATGGTGGTTGCACATTGCGAATACACTACATACCAATGAAATACATATTTTAAAATGGCTACTTGTCTCAGTTAAACACCTCTGAGTTTGTGTTATAGATTAAGCTTTTCCTCCCCCCACTCCCCTCTTTCTTTCTTTCTTTGAAATTTGTAAAAGGTGTTTCTGGTTGCCAAAGGTGAGACTGCCCTGGCCTCTCTAGACTCAGTTCCCACAAAGAATAATAAGGAGCTTTTCACACTAACCAAAGTTTTATTTTCTGCTAGTTTTAAGTCCAACATTTTAGGTCTTCAAGATTTAGATGTTCTCCAGCCAAGATGGAGGCGTGGGTGGGAAACACTGTGCCTCCTCACACAACCGAATTTGAGGACAACAAAGATTTAGAAACAAAAACTCAACCAGAACAGACAGAAAATTCAACTGTACCAAAGTCCAACGACAACAAACCATTCATCCAGACCGGTAAGAGGGGCAGAGAGGGGTCCCGGCAGGATAAAGCAGTGGTTGGCAGACCAAGATGAGGGGAGGAAACGAGCAAACCCAGTAAGGAGCACAAGGTGGCCGGTAGACCGCAGACACACTATTTGCGCACAGATAAACCAGGCAAAAAAAACAGGCAGTGAGACAGACTCTGCAACCCAGGGCCCCAGCAACGGGAAATAAAGCCTAAAAGCACCAATTGAAAAAACTTGTGGGGTTTGAGGTGTCAGGAGAAACTCCCAGCCTCATGGGAGAATTTGTTGGAGAGACCCACAGGGTCCTAGAATGTACACAAGGCCACCCACCTGAAAAACAGCACCAGAAGGACCCAATTTGCTTGTGGGAAGCAGCAGAGGGGACCAAAACCTGACAGAGTGGAGCAAGCACCATTATTCCCTCTCTGACCCCGCCCCCACATACAGCATCACAACCCAACCACTGGGTTGCCCCACCTTGGTGAACACCTAAGCCTCCACCCCTCATACATAACAGGCATGACCACAACCTCCACCCCACCACCCCGGCAAAAAATGGCTCAAATGAAAGAATGGATCAAAGCCCCAGAGCCAATACTTCTAAGCGATCAAGAGATAGCCAACCTATCAGATGCACAGTTCAAAAAACTGGTGATCAGGATGCTCACAGAACTGGTTGATTTTACTCGCAAATTAGATGAAAAAATGAAGGCTACACTAAGTGAAATGAAGCAAAATGCTCAGGGAACCAATAGTGATGGAAAGGAAACTGGGACTAAAATCAATGGAGTGAACCAGAAGGAAGAAAGAAACAACCAAACAGAAAAGAATGAAGAAACAATAATTTTAAAAAATGAGCAGAGGCTTAGGAACCTCCAGGACATCTCTAAACATTCCAACATCCAAATGATAGGGGCACCAGAAGGGAAAGAGGAACAGCAACAAGTGGAACACTTATTTGAACAAATAATGAAGGAGAACTTCCCCAATCTGGCAAAGGAAATAGACCTCCAGGAAGTCCAAGAAGCTCAGAGAGTCCCAAAGAAGGTAGACCCAAGGAGGAACACACCAAGGCACA